ATTTCGTTGTGCAAACCTGTGTTGCAGAATCACACATAAAATAAATGTATTCTTGCTCATACAGTATTAGTTTAGTGGGAGAACACAAACATGTAGGGTCCGCAAAGAAGCATTCATGAGGTGCAAGCTGACTGTATGCAAAACATGGCTGCCAAACTTTATAGCATGCAAAACTGTGAACTGTGGTGACACTGTAAAAAGGAGAATTGTAAAGCTTGACATTCCTGTTGGTTGCCAAGCTCTTCCTCCACAATGGTGATGTAAGTGAACTACAAATCAAATGTATCATCATACAGAACGTTAGTGATGCTTATTTAATTAAAGATTGTACAGGTAGTAAACCAACATGACATCCTTCTCTGTCGTCACCACAATGTGACACATTTCTTCTCTCTCCTGTAATTAAGTCTGAATGCTTCACATACCATGCAGCAGTGAGGAAAAACCCTTAAGAAGCAGCTGGAGACAGACACAACTATTTGAAGAAGGAATGCAGCTTAAGTTCATTGCCGTTTCTCAGACTTGACACTAGCGTCATCCTCACTGTGGAAGACAGGCAGCAACTTTAAGATGACAGAATCTGTCCTCACAGTAGTGGACATGTCTATCAGTGCCGCTTCAACACACTTCAACTTCAACCTGCATGCCAAACAAACAATCTCACACCTTCACTCTCAATGGCTTTGACTTTTTTTTTTGACCCAACACTGTTTACCTGATAAGAGCAGTTATGGTGCTTTTTGTGGGTTTCCCTTTCCTGTAGTGTGTTCTATACTGTAGGTTTCTGTGCATGCAAATGATCTGCAAACGCTAAAATCCCTGTGTTCCCTCCAGGGGGAGATTCTCTCCCACACACTCCCCTCCCCCCTGCCTGAAATGCATCCATTGGACTCCTTTGTTTACGTCCAGAACTTAGTGACATCACTATGTTACACTCGCGTATCTGTTGGCTAAAGCTCCAACACATAGTACATTACAGGCTAAGAGGCGGGACATCTCTAATGGCGCTTTTCCACTGCAGGGCCTCGCTCGGCTTAGTACGGTATGGCTAGGCCTCGTTAGGCCTCGTTAGGCCAGGCTCACTTTCTGCTGCGTTTCCATTACAGTTTAGGAACTGGGGCAGTATCTATAGTAACGCAGTGTAGGCGGAGCCGTGACGTCATCTTCAATGAGAAACACAAAACCAACATCAGCCGTTAGCTGTTAGCACTCAGAGCTCACAGCTCCTCATATATGTTCAGAAACTAGACAAAAGTTAAACAAGTACAAACCACAGACTGCCTGTGTCATGGCGAATACAGTCGCTGGTTTATTTATGTCTGTAGGCCGTTGTTGTGAGTGTGGACGGTCGGAGCATATACAACGTTAGCTTAGCCGATCTCCATTTAGAAAACACACATTTTAAAAGGTTTTTCGCCTGCCGTCTGTCTGCAGACTTGTCAAAGCATTAATTCATGGTTTTTACTAACCGGTATCAGTATGTTGTTACTTCGGCATCATTTTGAAACGTGTATTACAATTAAATCTCGGTCAAATATGTTCATCTTGTTGTAGTTGTAGCCCTCTTGCCAGCGATTCTCTCTCTAGTTTAGCAGCCCGGTTGTTGGCCCGGAAAGAACCTCGATTTTGGAGAGCCAGAAAACTGTGAAAAAGTACCCGTTAGCCGGAACTACGCCTAGTGGAAACGCAACCAAAAACGGGCTGGGCACGGCACGGCACGCTTAAACCGCGCTGTAGTGGAAATGCGCCATAAGTGGTTAACCAATCACAACAGAGCCGGCCAGCTAACCAATCAGAGCAGGCACCCGTGAAAACAAAGTCACAACATTGCATACATTCAAACGTCAGTATTTACTATTTTATAACCCTAAAAATCCCCCCCAGAAAACTGACCTCAACCAGAAAAAAAACAAATGAGGGACTAGTTAGCATTTCAAACAATTCGCCAATTACAATACTCCAACCAAATGTCGCATTACAAACAGGAGTAATTCTTATGCATAGTTTTCATCTTCCACTATGGGAAATCCATACTTTACTGCAACAGCTGGAATAATCAGTGTGTGTGTGTGTGTGTGTGTGTGTGTGTGTGTGTGTGTGTGTGTGTGTGTGTGTAGAAGATACATATTTTACTACAGGTGCGTATAGCTTCCTTTTTTTACGTGTTGCACCTTCATGAGGGAGCTTGTTGTAGAGAATAAAATGGGAACACATAATGCAGCTCAATGTTATTATTTAAGAAGAAATATTGTTTCTCTGGAGGCCTGAGGTGAAACCCAGAGCTGTACAATGTGAGCTTGAGAAGAATCAGTTCAGGAAAGCCGGTTAGTTTGCCACACCTTCTACCTCATTGTGAATGCATCATATTTTGTTCGTTTTGGCAACATATCTTTGAGTCACTGTTGTCAAAAGCAACGATAACATGCAGTATACGGTACTTCAGTCAGCCAAGAGGAAGGTCTCCAAAACGATTAGTGGTTTTCTCGCAGGGCGTGTAACATAACATGAATTCTTTCTCAGGCTCTTGATTAATATATACCGTTTCAATTTTCACATGGAAATAAATTAGCTGTCTTTTAATTACACTTCATATTCTGACACCTTTTACACACACACACACACACACACACACACACACACACACACACACACACACACACACACACACACACACACACACACACACACACACACACACACACACACACACACACACACACACACACACACACACACACACACACACACACACACACACACACACACACACACACACACACACACACACACACACACACACACACACACACACACACACACACACACACACACACACACACACACACACACACACACACACACACACACACACACACACACACACACACAAATTTGTGAGAACAAAAACTTCTCATTGCTAGAAAAAAGTGTCAAACTGAATTAAACCTGCCTCTCAGGATTCTGATGTCCACCAAATGAATCAATCATAAGTTGAAACATATGAATGTCATAAACCAAAGGCTGAGAGACACTCCCTCTCAAAGAGGTGTGGCCCAAACGTCACAGTGTGTCCTCATACAACAACAAAAGAAAGACTCATTAATAGTTGTAACGAAAAAATTACTACAGATAACGAACAATTATTACCCAATAATTTGGGAAGACACGTTGACTTAAAATAAGGTGCGACAGGTTCCAATTATCTTTTTACCGTTGCAGAGTCTAGCAATTTGTCTTGTCTTTATTCTAATTTGTTGCAGTGTTATTATGGACCTGTGTACAGAGTTCATTGTTGATTGTTTGAAATGTCTTAAAATCTTTGTGTAACCTCGACCAAGACGTTATTTATTTTGGTTTGTTTTTTCACCAGGATTACAGAAGAACTACTGGGGTCTTCATGAAACTATGGTGGAGGGTTGAACAATAGGCAAAGGGCAAAGAATGGCAAAAATCACTTTCGAAGGGCAATAAAGAACAGAACTCAACAATGCTAACGCTGTAAAACATCAATGATCCTGCACCTGGACAGCTTTTTTTCATTTATATTCCAACATTGAAACACTCAACAATTAACAAGTCCCTGTTCAGGCGTAACTCTGGAGGCGTGTGGTGCAGTGGGTTGTGCGTTGGTGTTGGGATCAGGGGGTCACAGGTTCAAACCCCACTGCAGTCAGCATGTCGTTGTGTCCCTGAGACACTCCACCCCAAATTGCTCCTGTGGGGATTGTCCACAGTATTGAGTATGAAAGTCGCTTTGGATAAAAGCGTCTAACAAGTAACAAGTAATGTAATTAAATCTAAAGCCAAGAAGTTTATAGATAATCATAATATTTATTAGTTCCAGCCTTAAGGTAACGACTACGCTGCCAAAATAACTTACTTTGAACATTTGTTTGTGACTTTGATGCCAGGACAAAAAGTCTTCAAAGCACAGACGCTTTAAACAGGTCACCTCCCTGTTTTGACAGCGGCCATTTATACATGACGCCGCAGGTTTAAACTACAGGAATGCAGGCAGCCACAGAAAAAGGCCGGGACACACCCAGCTGAAACACCCACCCTGCATGGTTTGTCAGTGTTGCGACAGTTGACGCGGCTGTGATTATGAACAAAGTGCTGTTGTAAGAATGTGAACATGGAGGCAGGGCGTAGACTGCTGACAGAGACTGGAGCATGCAAGAGCAGTGACTCGCCCCTGGCTGAAAGGAGAGGATTTAAAAAATAAATAAATATATACTACCAATGCATGTTCACACAGCCACCTGTTCCCATGCTGAGGTTTCATTCTGATGGGTGTGTTTCCAATGAACCAGCATATGGACTTTTACACACACACACTATTTTTAAAGAATCGGCTACGGATGTGTAAAAGCAAGAAATGTGCGATTCCATGCAGGCGTTACGATTCCACGTATTGCAATTTCTTCACTCTAATTTGAGGTCATAGTATAGAGTGTGATACAGTATGAGAGATACTATATTTGGAAAAGCTTAGATTAAAAAATGCAGAAGGATGGGAAGTGTTTGATAAGGGACCAGTGTTGAAATATGTAAGATATCCGAGGGATTAATACTGTAATTTAAGAAGCTGTTAATTTGTTTTATGTATTCTTGTTTCCCAACATGGATCCTTGACATTTGAAAATAACGTATGCCCCAGTAAGTTGTTTTTGTTAGTGAAATGGAAAAGGGATATGTATTTGATGTACCAATGCACACTATATTCTTAAAACCGATCCACAATTACAAAACATTATATTGCTCAATTACTCAGGAGTAACGATATTTCCACACCTTCTTCGTGTACTACAGAAGGGCTTCAGACTACGACTCATTAGGAGGGTTGGAACGAACCACAATGCCAGCTTTGATTCGACCAAAAGAAATGGAGAACTTGGACAGTGTGGTTTCCTGAAATTGTCGTCACTACAAATCACCAGCTTACAATAAATGTAAATTGCACAGAAGTAAAAACTGTTTGTTTGTTTGTGTGTACTTGCCTCTTCCTCAACACTGAACACTGATGAAGACATCCCACTGATGCTCTGAAATAACAGACAAGACGAGGGGGAGAAAAATAAGAGATTGTCAGTTTCCAACAGAAAATAAAAACACTTCAGTTCACTTAGTTGAAGCTTGAACAAATCAATAAAAAAGGTTTGCCTATGACACACACATTTCACACAATTAATATGAATATATAAAGATACATCTTGATTCAGCCGCAACTAACCACATTAGTTACTACTGCATTCAAAACTAAATAATCTAAACTGTGTCGAAGTACTCTTTTTCCTACAAAAATGTCAAAAATGGTGTACTTCAACCTCTCAAATATGTGGGTCAAATCCTATTAAAGTGAATATCTTTGGATTTTGAGCTGACAAACGCATCAGGTTTGAAAACATCACCTTGGACTTAGGACTGGGATTTTTCTACATTTTATAGTGCAACTAACCGATTAAATAAGAAAAGTTATTGTTAGTTGCAGCCATTACTCTCCAGCCAATCAGAATGAAGAAATCCTGCAGGGCATGGAACCATTTTACAAAGTGAGATTAGAGACTAAATGAATCAGTTGTGGGTCCCCTGAAAGTCAATTTGAAAAGACAAATGAAGTGAAAGTTAAGCGGTTTATTTCAGCAGTGGTGTCAGGTAGTCGGGTAGAAATGTGTGTTTTTCTTCAAATGTGAGGGAGTGCCATTTTAGCAGAGTCAGACCGGGCGCGGCACAACGTCTCTATCAAACACGTAATTTAGCATTTAGCTCGCAATTACCCAAACTGCAAAACCTGAATTAGTCAACTACATGAAGACAAGAAGCAGGCAGAAGGGAAATCTAGCAGGACCTGACATGCTGCTGCACTCGATACTAGACAGAGATTCAACTGAAGCAATAGTGGAAGGAATATTTTTGATCACAGAGGAAGATATCATTTGGATGTGTTCAACTGTTTGTAAATCCTCCCAAGGGTGAAGGGCACGGCATTCAGGAAGAGATGTTTTATCAGACAGGGCGAGACTCTGGCAGGTGCAGGATTAAGATTGGATCCGAGTAATGAGTAATCGAAGAAGAGAAGGAGTCAGATCAAGCAGAGATAAAGCATGTTATCGTAAAGGCCTGCAGCACTGTCTGTATTGTTAATCGCTTATTAGTTCAGGGGTGTCAAACTCAAGGCCCGGGGGCCAAATCCGGCCCACCACTTCATTTTGTGTGGCCCCACAAGAGCTTGCAAAGAATATAATTATTAATTATACGGTTACGTGCCGCTTTACAGGAGCACGTTGCCCATACATGGAGCACAATGCATCTCAAATTTGACTTTTTTCTCAGAATTTGACTTTTTTTTCTTAGAATTTGCCCTTTTTTTTTGTATTACTTTTTCTTCAAAATGTCACTTCTTTTTTTTGATTGTGACTTTTTTTCCAGAATTTGGCTTTTCTTTTTAAATCATTTAGTGACATTCTCACTGAAGAGACTTGCAATTATTTTCCCTAGACTTCTGCTTTCAGACGTAGTTAATTATGAAGTTATAACCCTATCCGATAATAATCCAATGCAGAGGCAATGATGTAATATAATACATTATTTTATATATATATGATATATTTATATATGTATTTTTATATAGTCTTAAAGTTACAACCGGCCCTTTGAGTGCAACCATAATGCTGATGTGGCCCGTGATGAAATTGAGTTTGACCCCCCTGGCTTAGCTGATATGCAAAGTGCAGGAATGGTGAGAGTTTTCTAAATCCTCAAAGAAATGTGAGCAGATAATGTGAACTAGAGCTTGCTTTGTAAGACTTGAGAAGACTTTAAACCACACCACACAAAGAAAATCTACAAAACCGGTTCCTCTACTCGACAAAAGCACAAGCTAAATTTGCACATCAGTGTTTGCTGTATCATTTTGTATTTTTCAATGTAGCAAATTATTAAAAATAGGTTTTGTCTTTTGAACAGCGAGAAAATATTGTACATGTCCATCACATCAAATTACCCTGTCTGGCCAATGTTCAATTAATATTCCTAACTGTGAAAGATGTTGTGTTTCCCTTTTTATTAAGAATACTTTTTGGCATTTTAGCATTTAATTGACAGCAGTTGAAATGAAAGGCATGGGGGCAGCATTGAGCCCGCAACTAACAATTATATTCATCATTACTTAATCACATTTTTACTTTTAATCCATCATTTTGTATAGAAACACATTTAATTGTCTCCTTTCTGTATTAAAATGTGCATCTGGGGTCGTGGCAAAAGTCTCTCTGTCTTAACATTAGCTTGGTCATATATTTATTATATTATAAATTATTATTATTATTATTATATTATTATATTATATTATTATTATTATATGTATTATATATTTATTATTATCTGGCTATTAACTGTAAGAATGTGATGCATAGTGTCAGAAGTCGTTGTGATGTGGTAAACATGCTCACACTGCTGAGGTTTTTCTGACAGCTGTTACATCATGCATTCAAACGCTTTGTGACTGACACACTAATAAACAATCTCAGACATGTAACAGCACACTGCGATCAGTACCTGGTGTGTGGACTCTTTCTCACACAACTGATGAATATTCTGCTAATTATAAACGTGTTCTCATCTCCAAAATGAATTGTATTATTACATATATTTTGAGATACTAACTCAACTCAAAATAATTACTAAGTAGAGCAAAATAAAGACTTAGAAACTCCAAATGATGACTTAATATCTCAGAATATTGACTTAATATATCAAAATAATGACTGAGTATTACAAAATAATGTCTTAAAATCTCAAAAATAATGACTTCATGTAAAAAAAAATATAGAATAGCACAAAGCAATGACTTAATATTTCAAAAGAATGACTTAGTATTAGAAAATAATGACTTCATTTCTCAAAATACTGACTTACAGTAGTATTACACATTGATGACTTAGTGTGACATAATAATGACTTAAGCATACAAATAAGGACTTTGCATTTCAAAAAATGACTTAGTATTTCGAAACAATAACTGATCTCATAATAATAATAACACATTAATGACTTAGTATCACAAAAAAATTGCCTAAAATCTCTTAACAATGAGAAACTGACTGAGATAATGACTTTTATAATGTTGTTATTGTTATTTTTGAGATAGTAGACCTAACTTTGCATTATAAACACACAGAATATCAATAATACAAGCCTCTAATCAGCTGTCCATGGGGCTCACCTCATGCCTGCTGTTCTGCAGGTACATGTGGTCGGTGGTGTCCTGGCTGCTGACGCTCAGGTTGGACATTCCCTGCATGTACACCGGGGAAACCATCTGCTGCATCATGGGCTGCTGCTGCTGAATCATGGGCTGCTGCATGATGATGTACTGCTGCTGTATGCCCTGCTGCACCATGCCCTGCTGCACCATGCCCTGCTGCACCGGGATGTAGGACTGCTGCTGCTGCTGCTGCACCGGGATGTAGGACTGCTGCTGCTGCTGCACCGGGATGTAGCTCTGCTGCTGCTGCATGCCCTGCTGCATGGGCATCAGGTACCGCACCGTCTCATAGGAGCCGTTCATCCCGTACGGAACCGGGGACACCGGGCTGGACGAGATCACCGTGTTGCTCACCACCGGCTCCGGGGAGGAGGCCGCCACCTTCACGGTCCGGTAGGTCGTCGTCTTCTGGGTGCTATGCATAGACATCTTGATGGATCCACAAAACCGAAAAAGGGAGGAAAAATAAAAACAACCAAAGAAAGTTTGGAAGTTGGAAGAGTTGGCGATTCAAGCTGTTCGCCTGTGCGTGTTTTTCAGCGGTGGGAAAAGTTAAACTACCTCGGGTTTACTTCCTCCTCTGCTTGGCAAACTGGAGAGGAAAGTCCGGTTGGAGGAGTTCTTCCGTGGAGGGGAAGACTGAGAAAGTGAGGTAGGCGCTCCGCTCCTCTGCCCGAAAATACTGCTGTGGAGGTGGGAGGAGGCTCAGCTGACAGGAAGTCACCTGTTGCACCGTCAACATGGATACTTATTATAGTTACAGTCAGTTCATTTAGACACAGAGGATTCCTGATTATTAAATGTTGTTTATTTTGTTATTAAATAGGTTTTACAAGGAATTTGCCTTGGTGTACTTATGACATCAACTTAATAAGTTAAAAAATACAATTAAAAAAAATAAAAAGTAAAGCTTCCTGTACCACTACCACAACTACTAATACTAATACTGCTACGTACTATTACTACCACAACTAATACTACTACTACTACCACCACTAATACTACTACTATTAATACCACCACTACTACTACTACTTCTACCACCACTAATACTACTACTATTACTACCACTACTAATACTGCTACTAGTACCACCACTAATACTGCTACGTACTATTACTACCAATACCACCACCACAACTACTACTACTATTACTACCACTACTACTACTACCACCACTAATACTACTACTACTACTACTACTACAAGTATTACAATTAATAGAAGATAGAAGATAAATACAATCCATATATGAAAATGATGCTTAAAAATAGATAGCATTAAAGAGTTAGTTCAACAACCAGCACTAGTAGACCAATGGTAAAGATCGAATAAAAAACCTGAACCAGCCACTAGGTGGAAACAGACAGCCAGTAGTGATACAGCTCACAGCCTCCTGCACAGTATCTCATGCATTTACCTTTATTTCCAGTGTCTCCAAATATTTTAATGCAGATTGGTCTTCAATTAAATTCAACAGTTATACATCAGACAGTGACAACAGCGAACATTTCTGCACGAACTGCCACATCTAAAATCTACAAAGATCTTTTATATGAATTTAGATATATGTAACATATTTTATTGTAGAATGTTTTTACTTTATTTCATTTATTTTTTGCAATTTTATTCTCTGAAATATTCAACAGCTTTTTTTTAACAAGTATTTTTGATTTGATTTGATTTACATGAATTTATGTTATTCAGTTAACCTGTGGTTCTCTTGCTATATGAATACAAATGTAAAAATACAAAATAAAGATGTAAATTGGAATAACCATTTCATGTGTCTGATAAAATACAAATAAAAACATTAATGTTATTCAGTACTGTCTCTGCTATTATTAATACAAATGTATGTCCTAAAATTATAAAATAAATATATATAATTGAATAACCATGTAATCTGACAGATAAGGTAATGAAAAAAATCCCACATTATAAAAAAGTAAAATAATGTTGATCTTTTCGAGAATATTTGCTCCATCTACTGTATCTATCATCGTGTGCCTGCATACAAACTCAACTCTCGCGATACTCAGCGAGATCAGCCAACGTAATCTAGCGAGGAAGCAGCTTTTTTATTTATCGGAAAGAATAATGGCTGCTATCCGACTTCTCTATTGTTTTCAACGAGGTCCAGTCGACATTGCAGGGTCACAGATGCCCCAGTCTTTTCTTTGAAGAATCCTTTTCTTCTGGTAAGTGAAAACAAGACACACTACGCTGAGAGCATCCTGTTGTCAACCGGTTTTAGTCCTCAGATGATGGGGCATCGTTGTCCTTCATCCAGCTCCGACCGGTTCCGCTATCCGTCGACCCTGCATGCTGCCACCAAACTACACCCGGAAAATACACAATTTAACCATGCATATGCTCTCAGTTGACGTATTTAATTAGTAAACCTTGTTTTTAGACATTTTGCATGTGTGTAGTAGACGTTCTTCAATTCGGAATGAGTTAAAATCGGTTAAAATACACCTAGCAGTACCTGTTAAAGGAAAAATGTAAATTTCCTTTCACACCAAACAAGCCTGTTGAATAATCTTGAAAATAAATGTGCTATTATGTGATTCATATATACAGAATTCACTGGGATATTATATTAGTTTTTAAGCCACCAGACAGTAATATAGCCATTTCCCCACTTCTGGAATACCTTAAAATGCCGAATATTTCAATGTAGTTTTGCGAATAGTGTCCCTTTTTTAAAGTGAGTGAAGGAAGAATGTGTTTTATTTTAATTGTATTCTGTGATACAATGGTAAAAAACCAGTCATGTCAACATACTTGCTACATTTAAATGTACCTGTTTTTAGAAAGGGTCGTTAAAAATGTTTAATTGCAACTATTGACAACCGGCTTTGTCTTCATCATGTAATTCCCAAACAACCTGCTTATGTGTAAACTGCAAGGCCTGCTTTATCATCCCAACATGACCTGATGTAAGCTTGTGTTATGGAATAAAGCTCAGGTGTCAGTGAGGCTCCCTGTTGATGCAGCAGCGGTTACGTAATGCAGCCTGTCTGCTATGATCATCTGGAGAAACCCTGCAGTGAGCTGGTTGTAACAGGATGAGCTCCCTTTCAAGAACAATGCAGATGAAGTCAACTATATATACATCTCAGATAAATAAATACAAAAAGATGAATAATGTAGAGAATGTTGTAAGTGACCAAGTAAATGCTGGACTCTATATACATATAAATAGAATTTGTGTTAAGAATACTCACAAAATACAACTTGTTGAGCTGGGAAAATGTAATGAGATATGCAAATGCTTGCCTCATGTACAAAATAATACACGGCCTTATCTCACTTCCGCTAAGACATGTTATCACCATATGCACACCTGTAACTAGGTCAACAAGAGCTGCAACAAGAGGAGACTGCGTTGTTCCATTGAGGAAGAGTTCATTCAGCCAATCTTCTTTTTCTGTTAAAGCTGCACAACAGTGGAACTCAATCCCAGTAACGATTAGAGAACAAAACACCTGCAGTTTATTCAAATCTAACTTAAAAACATGGTTAGTGGAAAATCAGCTCTGTCAACACTGACACAATCTGCACTTTACAATGCTCTGTTTGTACACATGTGCCTTGACCTGTTGCTATCTGTCTGCTTTGGGAATATGTATTTTAGTTTTTATATATGCTTTTATCATAATTTAAGCATCTATGTTGAATGTTGTTTTACTGATTGTATTTACCTGTCATTTGAAGTGACATTTTTTTTTTAGGATGACTTTCAACATCTGTCCAGGGACTGCAGATGAAAAATAGCCTGTTGGCTAACTCTGGCGCATTTACAGAAATGTTAATCAATGTGCACTGTCCCTGTCAAATAAATAAAAAATAAAGGTCCCATGTCACGGCCATTTCTACTGATCATAATTCCATTGTTGAGGTCTACTAGAATAGATTTAAATTGTGCAATTTTCCAAACTCACATTGGTTTCTCATACAGCATCTCTGTATAGTATGTGTATTCACTCTCTGTCCTAAACGGCTTGTTGGAGCTCCTGCCCCCCCCCCCCCTCCCTGTGAGCCCACTGTGCTCTGATTGGTCAGCTCGCCCACTCTGTTCTGATGAGTCCACCACCGTTACAGCGGAACATCAGTGATTATGTGTTACAATGGCGTTAGCAACCAGAAAATGACACCAGTAATGACAAACAGATGACTGCGTGGGGTCTGGGTGCCGTGTTGGCGGGACGTTGCGCGGCTCGCTGCTGCGAGGAGCGGACAGTGTGAGCTAGGTTCATTTCCTGCTTGCTGCGTGGGGTCTGCGAGACAGCGAGACAGCGCGAATGGACGCGGGAAGGGGGGGATGCTCAGGGGGTTGCAGCACCCCCATCTGCGAGGCTCCACTAGCAAGTGAAGTCCAATAGTCTCCGGTGAGCGTTGAAGTGTGGTCTGCCACAAGCGGGCAGCAGGAGCGGGGCTGCCAGCATCAGCTTGTAGATGGTATTTTAAACTCGATGCGCTCTGAAACTACGGGGCGGGCCGAGGACAAAAAATACACATGCGTTAATCGCGTTAAAATAATTAGTGGCGTTAAAAATGTTTCGCGTTATTAACGCGTTAACTTGACAGCCCTAATATAAATGTTTATTAATAATAATAATAGACATCTCTCTGTATCTTTTTTTTCAGATCCTCTCCCGGTTGATCTTATTCCTCGTTACTGAAATCATGTCTGGCTCGAGGGACATACCAGGTGAGATTTATTTTGGAAGAACACGCACAACAGATAACATTTCTCCAGCCCATCAATAATTTACCAATGTTTTTTAAAGCTGGTAAGGGATGCAAATCTTCCTACCATTTGCATATGTTATCAGTGTTTGGTGTTTATTGTGTGCCCTGCTCTCGCTGGTTGAAAACAGCAATGCATTTTGGTCTTAGCAAAGGGAAATGACCTTGACGGCGTCATGTGACCACGATGAACTTTGCTAACTTAACTTAACGTTATCCTTTTACTTTTGGCTATTTAATCTTTAACAAATAAATCCAAGCTTCTTTTTAGATTATGTCTTGGAGCAAAACGTGCAAGTATCATTAACTGCTTTTTGGCACAGAGTCTATTTCTTTTAATAAACCACTACAAAAATAAGTTTGAACGATTAGCCAATAAAAGCACGTCATCCCTTCTGCACTTCACTCCCTGTTTGCTGTGGACATATTCCCCCACTCACCTAACAGCGTGCAGCTGAAGAGTGCGTTGGCAGTTAATGACTGCCCTCGTTCCAATGCATTGATTTCAGTTGTTTTCTGCCTCGCTCTGCATCACAGTGACGCACTCTCAGCAACAGAAAGAGAAGATAAAAGCCGTTGTTGACTTGTTGTTGTTGTTGTTTGTGTCCGCAGCCATCGAGGGCCCCGGGATGGGCGCTATGAGGCTTCCCATCGGGATGACCCGACGAGCCCTGAGCTACGATGATAACATGGAGGCCCCCATGTCCACGCCCCCCCACGACATCAGCATCAACAACCTGTGGAGACGACCAATCATACCGGAGAGGAAGTTCTCCCGCCTGGCTGAGGTGAGACACACACACACGCACACACACACACACACACACACACACACACACACACACACACACACACACACACACATAGCTCATTTAATAGGAGTAAATTGATAAAACAATAATTAAAAACAAGTTAAAAAGCACAAACACATCGACACACACGCACACACCTATTTTCTAATGATGCTGTTTTAGCAAGAGGTATCGTTTAATACAAAGTCTTGAACGTTTGGGAAATGCCTACGTTGTTACCGTTATGTTTTCAAAGTTAGGAATGCGCCGGAATAATGAAAAAAAAATAGTTGAAAAGAAACATTCCTATCTTTATTTCTTTTCCGGTTCACTTTGATATGCTTGGTTACATTTTCTCTATAATATGCTCTCATTAAATAAAATAATTTTCGACACATTTCGAGTGGGTCGCAGATGTGTGAGTGAAGAAAATAGAAAAAGAAACATTTATTTTTCTATTTTTTTTGGGAAAACGCTGTGCATGCAGTAGGCGTTGGACTGGAAGTACCGGAGACCATAAACGGTTTTGAAAACTTCTGTCATAGTGATCATCTTCTCAATAAAACATCTTTGCTGATATCTTTTTGAGTCTTCTGGCCAATCAGAATCAAGACTGTTGCCGGAAGTTCCCACAGAGAATAACTACGGTAGAACTATTCTTTATACATCCATGGGTACAACTTCAGATACAAATGAACACATAATGAAATATGACCCCCGCTTTGATGATTGACAGCTCACAGAACAATGGGGGCTATCTACCCTTACCCACAATCTCCTCTTTGCTCTTCTCTCTGTGAGGAGCAGCAAGCTGTCAGAACTAAGTGAAAAACAAACAATGGCATCAAATATTATTAATATGTCGGGTAGCAATAGATTTATTTATTTTCTTCTCGGAGTGTACCAGAATGCGTAGTTTATATGTTAGTATTTCTAAAAATCTCCTGGGGGATTCAGCATGAGTACCTTTTGATGTGATACAGTTCAGCTTTGATTCCATCATCTCATTAAACCTTTTTTAAAAGCATACTTTAGTTCTGTGAAGGGATATAAGGGATGCACTGTACTTCACTTTAATTAATATTGTATGCTGAAAAGCGTATATATTTTCATTTTATTTGAGAGGTTAAAAATTTCGGGTCGCGATTTATTGACAAAGGAAAAAGTGGGTCCTGAGGCCTGACCAGTTGAGAACCACTGCACTAAAGGCCCTGACACACCAAACTGACACCAAAGAACATGTCCCGACGGACCTGACTGTTGTGTCGCCTCGCGTCTCTGCGTCTTGGCCAACAGTCGCACTGGAACACACCGCAAAGACTTCAGCCGACAGCCAAGAAGCACGTACGCACTGCGCATGCGTGAGTGGCAATAACTCTCCTTACCAGCAGGCGGCGGTAGTGTGTATTCTTAATTCAAAAGAGGCAACCGGAAGACAGACTGCGTGATATAAACAAACAACAAATAGCGTGCGTTCCATTTTCACTCTCGTCCATCACAGAATGTTTCACATAACGACTTATAATCGAAAACATGTTTAGTGCGGTACTGGAAAATGAAAAATAATAGCCGTCTGTGTGTGCCTTCTTCACTTCCGTTTCGCTTCTCATGCACTGATTCGCTAAGCTGAACAGCCAATCAGAGTGATTTATTTTGCCGACAGCCTCCCGATTCAACATGGTGAATCGGCGGCGGAAGGTGTCGGCACGGGCGAAAAGACACGACGGTGCGGGACACACCAATCTGAGTAGGGCGACAGGACGCTCATCGACTGCCGAAATCGGCCCGGTGTGTCCGGGCCTTAATAATATACACCAAAGCTAATTCCTTGTATGTAAAAACTGCTGATTCTGAAGAAAATCTGTATATGATTTTTTTTATTGTATCTTATTAACAATTTAGATGTGATAATAAAGGCTTCAAGAATATGGAGTGTTTTGGTTTAGGTACCTCTAACTAAAAAGTGCCACGGTCTTATAAACTCTGTGTGTATGTTATTATAATGGTGTGTTTGTTTTTCCCTCCAGGAGGATGAGAGTGGTGCAGTGAGACAGTCTTCAGTGGAGTACAGCGCCCCCTCCAGGTCTCCAGCTGTAGTGAAAACCAAGGCGAAAACCAAGGCGTCCTCCATCATGAACTCTCTCATCACCAGTATGTTACCTTTTCCTAATTACCATAATATAATATCTAGATATGTTCTGTGTATTTTCACCAATGCACCAAGGCTGAAAATGGATAGTGCCATGAATAAGTCAAATGTAAAAAATGAGAAAAAAGACTGTAGTTCAGCTCAGAACAAACTAGTTAACCAAGTAAGTAACAAGAGTTCTTGCTGCTACATGAAAAGTGATATCTTCAAGTTTCTTTTGATATTCAGTAAAGTTTGAATCATGACATCTTGATTGTAACACTCACTCAGATTCAGGATGCCCACAACCATTTAGAAAGCCACCTTCTGAAGCCACAGCGTTTAAATGTTTGATATCTAAAGATAGACGTGGTTTGTATCCCCCTCAGAGCAGACCCAGGAGAGTGTGTACAGGTTTGAGCAGAGGGCCGGGCTCACGGACACCAGCTACACCCCCCACAAAGGCCTCACCGCTGAGGAGACCAGGCACCACCACCGCATGCCAGAATCCCTGCAGGTAACACACACTGAAACACACACTTAAACACGTACACACACACGCACACGCACACGCACGCACACACACACACACACACACACGATGATGATAAATACCATGCAAAAGTAGAACTGTGTCGACTGGTAGAGTTTCTTATTGTCTTTAAAAAGGTAGCTTTCCTCACATGATCTTGCCATAACACAATCTCTTATATCCAGCTGCCTCGCAAAGGTAATTACATTTGAACTTGTCTGAAGCTTGTTGTTGTTGTTGTTGTTGTTTAGAAACTGCAGATCCAGAGCATGGAGGCCAGAGAGGAGCGTCAGAGCGCCTCGGCTCAGTCCACTCCATCCAACACACCACAAACATCTCCAAAACAACAACGCAGGTACAAACATAACTTTCCCATAATATGATTATTATTTATTTGAATTTAAATTTGATTTCCACTTTAGATTATTATTAATATTATTATTTGTATTATTATTACAATATATATATTTTGTATTATTATTGTATATATAATTATTTATTTATTTATTTTCTCGCCTTTTTCCTCACATTAAAAAAAATGCGTTTGGCTTGAAAGTGGCATACTACATGGCATGTTCTTTTTGTATTTATAAGGAATATTACACTACTACTTAACAAAATATTAAGGATTTTGAGCAAGGTACATATAATAAAAAACATTACTAACTAAATCAAAAAGCATAAGGAAATGGGGTCAATACCATATAAGGGAAATAGAGTCTGTTCATCCCAATCATAAAAGTGTGTGTGTGTGTGTGTGTGTGTGTGTGTGTGTGTGTGTGTGTGTGTGTGTGTGTGTGTGTGTGTGTGTGTGTGTGTGTGTGTGTGTGTGTGTGTGTGTGTGTGTGTGTGTGTGTGTGTGTGTGTGTGTGTGTGTGTGGTGTGTGTGTGCTGTGTGTGTGTGTGTGTGTGTGTGTGGTGTGTGTGTGTGTGTGTGTGTGTGTGTGTGTGTGTGTGTGTGTGTGTGATGTGTGTGTGTGTGTGTGTGTGTGTGTGTGTGTGTGTGTCGTGTGTGTGTGGTGTGTGTGTGTGTGTGTGTGTGTGTGTGTGTCGTGTGTGTGTGTGTGTGGTGTGTGTGTGTGCTGTGTGTGTGTGTGTGTGCTGTGTGTGTGTGTGTGTGTGTGTGTGTGTGTTGTGTGTGTGTGTGGTGTGTGTGTGTGAAGACTCAAAAGTTGTTAAATGTTGGGGACGCTCCTTACAAAGTCAGGAGGTGCAAGGACATAAAAGGTGTCAGAATATGAAGTGTAATTAAAAGACAGCTAATTTATTTCCATGTGAAAATTGAAACGGTATATATTAATCAAGAGCCTGAGAAATAATTCATGTTATGTTACACGCCCTGCGAGAAAACCACTAATCGTTTTGGAGACCTTCCTCTTGGCTGACTGAAGTACCGTATACTGCATGTTGTCGTTGCTTTTGACAACAGTGACTCAAAGATATGTTGCCAAAACGAACAAAATATGATGCATTCACAATGAGGTAGAAGGTGTGGCAAACTAACCGGCTTTCCTGAACTGATTCTTCTCAAGCTCACATTGTACAGCTCTGGGTTTCACCTCAGGCCTCCAGAGAAACAATATTTCTGTGTGTAGGGGCTGGTTCGGCAGTACCAGTTCAGATGTAAGCTCCAGCAACAGCAGTGTGGACCTCGTAGATTCGGGGGTGGGAGGAGCAGCAGGAGCAGCAGGAGCAGCAGGAGCAGCAGGAGCGGCAGGAGCGGTTGAACGTTGGGGCGTGTTTGGCCCGCGGCCGATGGTCCAGAAGTCCACATCTGACCTGGCATCAGACCCTGCAGGTAAACAGCATCTCACAATGTATTGGTTCTTATCCAAATTACCATGGCATCTTTTTTTTACTAACAAATTGAAACCTTCGAATAAACACTTTGTTTGTTCAGAAGGGTTTGTTCTGGTGTGGGATTGGGGTTACTGGGAACACATGGACCTTTTGGACTGATTGCAAACACTCAACAAAATGAAAAACCTTCCCTTATTGGCTTTTACTAACCCTACGTTTATTGCATCACAGAGGCACAAAGGCTGATCAAATGAGTTGAGCTTTAGAGCACAGGCGGCTGCTGAGAGGCAACATTTACATTTTCACATGAGGGACGATTCAGTCGCTTTGGAAATTATCAAAGTATTTTTTCCATGATGACATTAGGTAGGTAATTTAAGGAAAGTAATAGATATTTGGAAGTGGAAATTTGCTCAAAATGGAAATCTGTAACTTTAGAGATTGTTTCTTTATGAAAAATGTTTCTAGTATTTTAACAACTGTTTGATATCATTCCAAAAATGGTAAAAAAATAACTGAACTGTGCAGTTTTTTCTGCCAACTTAATCAAAATGGATATATATTTAGATTTTAGATTTTATAGAGGTAAATATAGTGGCTGATGCAGTAAAGAGACAGACTAATGGCGCATTTCCACTACACGGTCGGCCTCGGCCACACTCGGTACGGCTTGGCCGCGTTGGGCCTTAACAGGGCCGACTCACTTCATGCTGCGCTTCCATTACAGTTTAGGAACTGGGGTAGTTACTATAGTAACGCAGTGTAGGCGGAGCCGTGACGTCATCTTCAATGAGAAATCCAGAAACACAACACAGCCGTTAGCTGTGAGCACTCAGAGCTCACAGCTCCTCATATCTGTTCAGAAACTCGACAAAAGTTAAACAAGTACACACCACAGACTGCCTGTGTCACGGTGAATACAGTCGCTGCTTTATTTATGTCTGTATAGGCCGTTGTTGTGAGTGTGGACGGTCGGGGCATATACTGCGTTAGCTTAGCCAATCTCCATCTAGAAAAACACGAATTTTAAAAGGTTTTTCGCCTGCCGTCTGTCTGCAGACTTGACAAAGCATTAATTCATGGTTTTTACTAACCGGTATCAGTATGTTGTTACTTCGGCATCATTTTGAAACGTGTATTACAATTAAATCACGGTCAAATATGTCCATCTTGTTGTAGTTCTAGCCCTCTTGCCAGCGCTCCTCTCTCTAGTTTAGCATACTCAGCCCGACTCAGCCCTGTTTGTTGGCCCCGATAGAACCACAATTTTCTAGGGCCAGAAAAGAGGGGAAAAAGTGGCCCCGCGCCGTGCCGCGCCGGAACGAGGCCTAGTGGAAGCACAACCAAAAAAGGGGACGGCACGACACGGCACGCTTAAAGCGAGCTACGCGCTGCAATGGAAATGCGCCATAACTTCTCTTTTCTTTTTCTTTTGGTTGAGAGCCCCCTAGTGGCAGAACATGACATATAATGTGTTCAAATCACTGGATTCTGTTCCAGTTCCTTAAAGGTCCCTATTATACTGTTTTTCATCAATATATCACAGCTCTCAGATATATACAGAGCCTGTCTTTGATTGGCTGAAACACCAAACAGATCATTGCAGCATTACCCATAATCCCCTCTGTTTCAGCCCTGTTTCCAAAGTGCTGATTCTCTGTCTGTTACTTTAGATGAAAATAAGGAGCCCCTCCCCACGCCCCTCTGAGAGATATTTGGTTACAAAGAACACAATGGTGCTCTAGGAGGAGATTCAGGTGATAAGGTGGGGGGGGGGGGTTACCTTGGTTGCTGATTGACTAATGGTTACCAAGCCAAAACATCGTTATGACATCATAAAGTGGCCAAAATCTAATCAGCTCATTTTCAGACAGGTTTTTATAAAAATGGATCAGGACAAAAAGAGAGAGAATCTTTGTTCCTGAAACTTTCAGAGTCTCTTTCCACAGAGGGGACACATGTTGATGAAGAAGAGACATGAAGAAGAGGGGACACATGTTGATGAAGAAGAGACATGAAGAAGAGGGGACACATGTTGATGTAGAAGAGACATGAAGAAGAGGGGACACATGTTGATGTAGAAGAGACATGAAGAAGAGGGGACACATGTTGATGTAGAAGAGACATGAAGAAGAGGGGACACATGTTGATGTAGAGATCGGAAGAGGGGACACTGTTGATGTAGAAGAGACATGAAGAAGAGGGGACACATGTTGATGTAGAAGAGACATGAAGAAGAGGGGACACATGTTGATGTAGAAGAGACATGAAGAAGAGGGGACACATGTTGATGTAGAAGAGACATGAAGAAGAGGGGACACATGTTGATGTAGAAGAGACATGAAGAAGAGGGGACACATGTTGATGTAGAAGAGACATGAAGAAGAGGGGACACATGTTGATGTAGAAGAGACATGAAGAAGAGGGGACACATGTTGATGTAGAAGAGACATGAAGAAGAGGGGACACATGTTGATGAAGAAGAGACATGAAGAAGAGGGGACACATGTTGATGTAGAAGAGACATGAAGAAGTGCATTTTGCATATTAGGTGACCTTTAAGCAAAATAAGATAAATAATTGTATCTGTATCTTTTCTCAGCTGGCTTTGCACTGCAGGCGTACCGCGGCGCCCAGAAGCCGAGCCCCATGGAGGTGATGAAGTCTCAGGCCTCTCGGCTCGCTGACGGCCCCCCCGCTCAGGCCATGGGCCCTCCCAAGATGGAGATCCCCACGGTGGAGGGCCGCCGGCAGGGGCCACAACCCCACAAGCTCAAACCCCGAGACATGAACATCCTGATGCCGTCCGGCTTCTGAGAGGCCGCTATACAGGCAGGTCTGATGGAGTGAAAGCTTCTCTGTGTTGTTGTTGTTGTTGTTGTGTGTTTGGAAGGACATTTGCATCGAGTCATGTAAATCCTGCAGGTCTGCTTCTGCTCCCTTATGGCGCATTTCCACTACAGCGCGGTTTAAGCATGCCGTGCCGTGCCCGGCCGTTTTTGGTTGCGTTTCAGTCAGTAGGGGCTTGGACTGTGAGCCGTAGGGTCGCCGGTTCAAGACCCCGACCAGACCTAAAATGTGGAGTGTGGACTGCTACTTGGAGAGGTCCCAGTTCACCTCCTGCCCTGCCGTGGTGCCCTTGAGCAAGGCACCAGACACCCCCCTTCCCCCCCCTCACTCCCCCTCACTCCCATTGCTCCCCGGGCGCTGTACAATAGCTGCCCACTGCTCCTAGTGCTATACTCCTGGTGCTAGGATGGGTTAAAAGCAGAGAACACATGTCACTGTGTGCTGTGTGCTCTGCATGTGAGACCATTAAAGAGGGGTTCATCCCTCCCATTCTATCTATTCTATCTATTCTATCTATTCTATCTATTCTATCTATCATTGAAAAATAATTTGATAAAACATTCCTTTACAATTTCCAATCTGCACTGCTTTGAGGTGTAAACTGTGTTGCTTATCGCTTTCCCTTCTCATTTGTACATCTAGCTGCAGCATGCTGGCATCAACAAATTCCACATGGACGGATCCTGGGAACTTTGTCCGGCTGAAGGTGAAGAAGATGGCGAAGGGTCCCCTGTAAATGCACTTTATCCTAACGATTATCCCCCTACCCAAACCCTCAAGTCACGCAGCCCTCCAGGATGCAAATGACTGCAAAAAAAAACAAAAAACTTCTTCTGTGTTCATAGTCTTAACATCATTACAAGTCAAATGCATTTGTGTTCTTAAAGGGACATTTCAATAAGCAGAGTGGCAACACAAACTCCAAAAGAATTCCTTAAGTGTCGTTTAATATGAATCAAACCAACAGAACAAAAATGAAAAATGGTCTCAGGAAATTTGGCAGGCTCCTGCTCACTGAAACGTTCCCCTTATCTGTTCTTTTTTAGAGATGTTTTTATTTATGGATATTTTATATGCTACTATAGCAACAGATTTTGTTCCCTAGGGATCAGAAGGATCAAATAATGTCTGTGAAAATCAGAGCTACATGTCGACGGGGCTCACACACTGACATGCTGCAGCGTTCAGGGGTTTTGGATGTAATCCAAATGGAATATGAGGGTTTAAATATTCTTCCAGTTGTGGGTGTGTGAGCTACAGGTTACATGTCTGCCTCTGTTGTTTTTACCACAGGGCATACAATGAAGAGTTTCTGTTTCTGATGAGTTTTGGCGCTTACCAGATTCTGTTTGTGTGTATGTTGACTGAAGAATAGGATCCTGCAGAAACCTTGTGTCTCTGACAGAGTGAAGGAGCTTTTGCTTTTGGCATTTAAGTCAAAAAACTACCGGCCGAAACATGATCTTTCTTGCAATGGACAATTCGGAGATCTTGGGCTATATTGCTTCCATAACATAACTTCTTTTAGACCTCAAGAAAACCCAAATGTTGTAGTTTATTCGACTCATTCTGTCTTATTTGTTTCTGTAGATTTCTCCTAAATTCAAAATGTTGTTGTTTAGAAACATACAAAATATAACTATAATACAAAAAAAATGTTTCTTAGTGTATGTAATCACCTGGGGAAGTTTCATGGTGAAATGCATTTATAAACATATTTGATCATTTCCCCCTGTAGTGTCTCCTATTAAAGATGAATGCAGTGCTAGAAAGCTACAGTGCTAGCTTACTGCTAACAAACAGCTGTGTGTTCAGGGTTTCTGTAGGACGGTGTGTATGATGCTTCGTAGAGCAGAACAAGCGCTATCAAATATATCTGTCAAATGAAATGTAGCACCTGGCTGATTATTATTATTTCACTTTAATTGTCAAGTGATTGAAGTCTGTTGCGTAATGTGACACAGCAGTGGAAGTGAAGTGTCATGTCCGAGTAGTTTTCCTCTCCTGTGGTGTCAGTCAGGTGTTCAAAAGATAACACTCTAAATATGAAATGAATATGACTGTTAATGTTTTGTGCCGTTTGTCCCTTTACATTTCTCCCCGACTGAAGTCTCACACCTGAATCTCCTCTGTGTGACTGTCGTGACCGAATTATCTGTTCAACATTTTCCAGTTGATGGTAAAGAGACATTTCCCTTATTTGAGCAGACTGTACACTTTTTGTTTCTTTGCCAAAAACGTTGATTTGAGAATAAATGTTACATTCTCGTCGGAAAAAAAGTCAGTGCATCCGAACGTTTTTTTTGTATTTCATATGGTTACTTTTTTCTTGCCAGTTAAAAGTCCTAATAAACAATGCATTTGTAGTCAACCGGACCCAATGGACACAGACATGAAGGAAAGATTCACTGATTACTTTTTAATTGTTCAGGTACAGCGAAAGAATGTTTTATTGCAAAAGCATCTTCATGCAGAGTCAACACTTTCTGTATCTTTAAGAGGATCCGACTTCTTGTACACTTTAAAAACACGACATCTTCTCCCTGCTTTTGTTGGACTTTCAGTCTCAAAGAAGTCCTGCACAGCAAGTCACTTATAAAACATGTCATTTCAAGCCAATCAATAACTTATTATAGTGAAAAACAGTGTGAAGCCAGTGTGAAAATGTCCAGTTGATGCAGAAATCCGTTTTAGAGTAAACCAGAATGCTTCAATTACCATACGCTTGATTACCTTTTAGGACTTTGGTCCTTTGCTGTGTAAAACTAAAGAAACAGACATTCAGTGTAAAAAAAGACTACTGTTGACATTGTCTGCTGCTTTGATACGTCTGTTTACAACTCCTCAGATTTAACGAATGGTGTGGATTTGTCCACGTGGAATTCAAACCTCTTCTGCAGTCTGTAATTCAAGTTCTCAAAGGCAGTCTTCTCAACTTTGGCAATGATTTTCCTGTTTCAGATGCAGCTGTGAGGACGGAGACCGAAACCTCTTCAGTTCAAACTGTTCCGAGATGCTTTTTGTTCTTGTCAAAACATGTCACGAGTGCTTTGACGGTAAACATCTTAAAACATGATAAGAGGGTTTTATCGTAGACCAAAGCAGGATGCGCTTGTTGGATAATCTTATCTTATCTTGGACACCAGTCTTAGCAATGTCCAACAAGATTACCAGGCAAACGCAGATGAGGAAGGCAGGTGTCTCACCTTGCAAGACATCAAACTCCGACACCCCTAAATGGGTAAGGCAGCATCCACACGGCGGCGTGCGTTGAAGCTTGCCGGTGGGCGTGTCTGAAACTCGACCAACAACCAATCACATGAATCTCCCGCGGACACACAAGCACGCGGTTTGATTGGCTAAAGCTTGTACTGGCATATGATTTGATTGGCTGACGCTTCCGTCGAAGCTTCAAAAGTTGAACATTGCTCAACTTTTGAAGCGAGCAACACGAGCAAAGCGAAGCGACGCGACCACAATGCAGTTCGGCAAAGCGTGACGTCACCCCATTCAAAGTGAATGGGCAGAAGCGTTGAAGCTTCAACGCACGCCGCCGTGTGGACGGGCCCTAAGTCCAATCTTCCAATGCCAATGTCCAAGACTGCTTTTTGATTTCAACATTTCTTACCATTTTTCTGCAAACCGTGAAGTCCACCCAAGTCACACTCAACTTCATTACTTCTTAGATTGTCTTTTGTAAACAACTCCATTTCTGACTTTCCCTACTGGATTTGATGCCTTCAAGGTTTGCCTAAAGGATCCATTCAAAGGACTTGGATCTTTTGTCGCGAAACAACATACCCTCCCTTATCTCTTGCCCTCCGTCCTATCCAAAACAAATCCCTCAATCTTTCTATCGTCAGAGAGTCTCTGCTCCTTTTCCTCCTTCATATCCTCCTTTTCTTTTGACGTCTCCATACATCTGGAAGAAGACGTGCATCTCTTTCTGCAGCGTTTTGTTTCTTTGGTCAGCGTCCACTTTGGCTCGATCCATGTTGCGGATCTTGATCTCGGCGACGCTTCGGCTTCGCTTCTGCTGCTCCAGACCGACCCGCAGTATCGCCAGCTGCCGCTCCAGGACGTCATTACAGCGCTCCAGCCTGCAGCGGACCAGAGGGCAAAGTCTTTGCTTTCAAGTCACAAGTAAGTGTCAAGTCTTTGCTTTCAAGTCACAAGTAAGTGTCAAGTCTTTGCTTTCAAGTCACAAGTCCAAAGTCCTAAGCATTAGCCGCGTTCACACCGGAGTACTTTTCACCGTACTTTTCACGTTTAGTTCCGTTAGTACCCCTTATGTCGCGTTCACACCAAAAAGAGAACTTAATCTCGGGAACTTTTACCCCCATTTTTAGTGCCTGCTGAGAGGTGGTACCTGGGGGAAAAAAGTGCCCCAGTTCTGATTGGCTGGGCGAATTGCAAACCACGCCCCGTACAACTCTGAAATGTTTTGTAGAGCCGCCATTTTATTATCCTCGCATTAGCATTATTAGCATTAGCATTCGCCCAGCGCACAAACGCAGAGAGACTAACTTATGGCAACACAAAATAAAACATGGGAGCGGTGGAGATGAGGAGGTGTCGGCGTTCTGGCGATTTACTCGGAAGGCTTCAGTAGAAGCTGCTGGGAGTCCCAGCAGCTTCTACTGAAGCCAGTCCCCAACTCCGGGGACTTCGGGCCGGGGACTTCGGGTGGCAGTATACGCCGTGAAGTGGTTTGCAGCCTGCCAGTAAACCCAAAGAAGAAGAAGTGACGTCAGCGGCTCATTTGCGTAATCTTCCCTCAGGGAAAAGTACTCCGGTGTGAACGCGATCTGTACTAAATGCCCTGGGGTAATAAGTGCCGGCACTAAATACGGCAAAGTACTTGGTGTGAACGTGGCTAATGAGTCCTGTACAGGTCTTAATGTACTTTTCACTAAATGTATTGCCATATTTGACCCACTCACTGCAATCTGCACCACTTCTTTTGCACCAAAACCTTTTTTGTACGTAAACAAAATCATTTTCTAACTGGCACTTTCTAATGTTACAATAGTTCTTCATAGTTCTCTTTTCTTGAATCAACGTTAATTATTCTGTAATTAATGTGTCGCTCACAACACTGAGGAAAGGTATAGAGTATTTTAAAGGCTCAAGTCCAATTGAAGTCTCATGTCATTGTTGTCCAAGTCCAGTTTTTGTATTTTGTCAAGTCTAAAGTCATCAAATGAGTGACTCAAGTCAATATCTCTGCAGTAAACACACACACATACCATATAGTACATGCCCTTACTTACAAAAAACACGAGCTAAAGTTTCATTTGTGAAATACCGCTTGGAATAAAAGCCACTTTAGGTATTCAAACATGTATACATCCTCCTTGTGCCAGTGTCTCACCTCTGCATCCTGGCCTGGTACTCGGCCTTCTGCTGGTTCATCTGATCCCGCAGCTCGGCCAGGAGGGAGTGAACGTCCCCAGGCTGTGAGTCCGGCTCCTGGTGGTCTGGAGGTCCAGAGGGGAGGAACACCTCTGAGCTGCCCGTACTGAGAGGGCTCTCACTCAGTAACGAACCGGAGGCCAGGGAGGTAGGGTGGTGGACGTCAGCATCTCTATCACGGTCATCATTGTTGTCTTCCTGATCGTCATTGTCACTGTTTTCCTTTTCTGCTACCTGACTTGAAGGTAACCTCTCAGGAGTCTTTGGAGATGCTTCAGGGCTAACTGCTTCCCCAGCGTCACTGCTCTCGTCCAACGGTAGCACCTCGCAGGAAGACCATGAAGAGGAGGAGCCCCTAATCTGCCCAGCTTCCTCTTCACAGGGTCCAACATGGTCTCCTGGTTCCTTGGTTTCATCCTCCATTCCTGGCGCCCTATCCATGTTGTCGTAGGCAGAAAGGTTGCTCTCTTCCTGATCCTCACTGCTGCCCCCGCTAGATGGTCCTGGCATTTCACCATGTTCCTCGGGAGCATCAGAGCTCCAGTAAGCAGTACCGGCTTCTTCCTGTTTAGGCCAGTCTTTTGCCCAGCTCAAGAGCACCTTTCTGGGCTTGGAGCTCTCCGGCAGCTGCTCTTTTAGCTGGAGGCTTGTTGAAGAGTCTTGAACGTTTGCAGGGGGCGGTCCTCGGCCAGCGTGGCCCTGGTGATAGTCTATGTTGTGTCTCTCAGAGGTACTGGAGGAGGGCAGGGGGTAGAAGCAGTTCTCCGGATGAGAGGAGGTGTATCGATGGCCGAGACGTCTCTTCTGGCCTGAGGACAAGTCGGATTCTGCAGCAGCAGAGTAGATGCAGCTAGAGAAAGCAAGGCAAAAGAGGTTAGCCTTTCAACATGTTCTACTTGTAGAGTGTCTGAATGTCTTTTTGTTTGTCTGCTTTCAGGTTATCTGGCAGCAAAACTTGTAAAAAGACAGATTATTATGTTATATATAACTTTTTTACATTGAGACATAGGGCATTTATCCTGCTTTCATGTAACGTCCAGCAGCTGCGCGAAGGTGGTGACAGACTTGACAAAGACTGGTTTCGTGGAGTTGCTCAAAAACGTGGACGTACTGTATCTCTCTGATTGCACTATACAATCTCTTGTCGATTTCTTGCCAATATATAGGATAATTACAAAAATTAGTCACAGGCTAGGAAAATGATTTGCAGCGTCCGTGTTGTTTCCACATAACTTGAAGCTCCTGAACACACCAAAGATGGAAGACACACTTCAAAAGGTACCATTGGTCCTGGTGGAGGTCTGCGTTTTCCAAATGTTCTAGTTACATCTCAAATCGTTTCCCTGGTAAAGATCACCACCTCTTTATGTGATTTATTAATCAGGCAAGGTAGTAATACTAGTAGTCTAAACCCTGTCCAGGTCTTCACAGTTTAGAGAAAGTCATATGGCTCTACTTAGAATCTGCCAGAACATCAAGTAAGACTATGTCTGTCAGATGTTGGCATGAGATATGTGGGTGTTGGTTGATGGCAATCTTTTTTAGAGCAGGTTTGAGTTACCTGGAGTTTTGTGGGTCTGCGGCAGACTGTCCTGGTTCTCTGGAGCGCTCTACGATGAGAGGCATCGACAGCTGACGGAGGCAAGGCGTCGGGTGGAGGTGAGGCTGCCTCAGAGCGCTTGGTGATGCATGGGAACCTCCAGGTGGGCGGGCGGAGACAAGTGAAGGGATTTTGGCAAACAGAGACTCATGTTCTCTGATCAGCTCCAACATCAGAACCTGGACCAGGGCTGCACCTACAGGACACAGGCAAAGGGTTTAGGATGTTTTTCTAAGAATCTTGTTGGTTGTATGATGTTCTTGTCATACACAACAACATTTTTGTTTTTGTTTAATGCCATTTATAGCTTTTTTTGGTGAGTCTGATTACATAGAAGTCTATGAGAAAATGACTTGATTTATTACCTCAGTAAACCTTTTCTTAAAGAGTTTATGGTCTCAATCTTAAAGGGGACCTATCATGCAAAATGCACTTTTGTACGTCTTTTCTACATGAATATGTGTCCCCGGTGTTCCAGGGAACTCACCAAGTGTCAGAAAACACAACCCTCTCTATTTTCCTCCATACCCAAATCTCTAAAAAAGGGGCTGCAACGGATCTGATAAAAACTGATCCAGATTTGAACACTGTCCTGACGTCAGGACGGTGGCGCTACGGCTATTGGGCCAACTCCACCAATCAGGAGGAGACAGCCACGGCCATTGCCGTTCGAAAGCGCTGGAGACGCTGTAGTACATATGCCAGGCCTGTAAATGGTGCTGTTCTCACTGAATCTGCCCAGAGCTAGAAATTGTCAAATTGAGCGAAATGAGGCATGGCTAAAATGCATGATCTGTTTGGTATTTTGAGAAAAAAAAAAGTATAAATATGCCTTATATAGGTATGGTCCTACACTATATTATTCAAATATAGCATGATAGGTCCACTTTAAGTTAAAACACTTCTTTTATACACCAGGTGTTGCTTTTGACTTGCCAACATGTTATATCACAGATGCTATCTTTTGCATAATTATAATAAATATTTAAAACAATTTGTTCACATTTTGCTGTCTACCTCCCATGATGCTTTGTGGGTCTTCAGCTTTGGCTCGGAGGATGTTCGGCCCAAACACGGTGGCCAAGTTCTGACCGCTCATCTTGTTACTGTTGGAATAACTCTGGACCTCAAATAAAAACCTGAAAATCACACAAAGAAACCCCACTTTTATGATAACATCTGAAGTAAATGTAGAAGTCAGAATTCCCTACTTACTTGCTATCGTTTAACATGTTTGAATGATGTCAGTAGCAAACAATCAAATGCATTTACTGTACAGCCCCCGTGTCAAGCATGTACACAAATGCATGAATAAAACACCTGGCTACAGATGATTTATCTAAATAACAACACTCTTACTGGCAGATGAAGTTGAGCAGGTTGAAGTTTACTACAGGCAACTCATGAAGAAGACTCCTCAACTCCCCTAAAACCTAAAAGAGGAATAATAAGAGGGTAAAAGAAAGGAAGTAAGATAAGACATTAGGAACCTAGCTGATGTGAACATGGATATTCATAATGCAGGTTCTAATAGCTTTGCAAAATGATTTCTGAACGTTTTAAAGTGCAACTTAACATCAACCTCAAAGCACTGTTTTGTTCTTATTCTGTTAGAAGCCATTGTAGTACAGTATTATTTTCTGTTCTTAGTTCATAATAATACCCCTTGTTGGGTAAACAATAGGTGAACACACCCAGCAGTAATGATGCACCTGTCCATCACTGCAGAGGTCAGTAAAGACACACATTTTAGGGGGTTTTGAGCTGCTCTTTAAAGAGGCCCTATTATTAATATCTTTCATTTTTGTAAAGCCTTGTGTTGAAAGGGGCAATATAAATAAACTTGCCTTGCCTCTAGTTGTGTCACTTTCCTGTAGTGCAGGGGTGTCCAAACCTTTTTCACCGAGGGCCACATACAGAAAAGTATACGAAGGGCTGGGCCACTCCCGAGAGGTGAGGTTTATCGGCTCGTAAGTTCAGTTATAAGTTGGAAAAATCAATCCAATGTAAGTAAATTATTCTTGATACTTACAGCTCACAGCTCTCCATAGGGTTTTATTTATGTTGTTAGCAGCTCATTCCTTAAAACAGATTCTTCAGATTGCTGATAAGAAAAGGAAATATGAAGGGTCTATTTCAAGGTTGTTATGTACATGTGTTATTGGGCTTTTTCATTATCAACTTAGATTTGTTAGAACATGTTATCAACTTTAATTAACTGAATTTATTTGAAAATTGGGCTCTTATTAACACATGAATACTGTGTAATATATTTGAACATAGGCTATATATATTTAAGAAGTACAATATAAGACAAGAAGAAGTTTATTGTACTTAAGTCATTATATTTTTTTTATTAGCTGAAGGCCGATTTAAAATGTGGCCCCCGGGCCGTAGTTTGGACACCCCTGCTGTAGTGTGTTTGAGCATGTAAATGCTCTGAAAGGCTACAATCCCATGAAAATGAGCATTAAAGGGCCGCTTTGAATAATGAATGGTGTTGTGCTCAGAGATGCAGTTACCAGCGTTCGATCAGTCGCCAGCTTCTGAGCGCACAGCAGGAAGTCCTGGTATCGTCTGTGAGGAACCAGAGGCTCCGGCAGCTGTCTGAGGTAGAGCTTCAGCAGGGACGCCACCGTGTGGACGTCTGTGCTACTGCAGGAAGAACAGCAAGGTAAGACCCTTTGAAGAACAAGTGATGAAGTGATTCTTTGTCAATTCTACAATACTGCAACACTACTTTTTACAAGTGTTTGTCAACAGCTTTCAAATTAAAACTGCTCCACCTGTTAAAAATATGCTCAAAGATTGTTGGTCAACCCTGTCAGAGACTTTCTGACTCAGCATACCATAATAACCTGAGAGGCTGTCCAACAACATCATGCTCTGAACAGAGAATATCAACTGCTACCATCTAATGGGAGATTCACTAAAGTCAGACTGAAGCATCCTTTGTGCTCCAGTCAGTCCTCTCAGTGAACACAGAGCTGACTCCAGATCAGATGCACGCTGAAGGCTCTTTGAGCAGCTTTTCTCTCACTGATTGTGCCGTTATGTTCAAAGTTGTTTGTTTTTCATGTATTGTGTCTTTATATGTGTCTATATTGATGTTACACATGGAGCTGCTGTGATGCAAGTCAAATGTCAGACTTGATCTGACCATTAAAGTATTATCGTATCAGAACGAAAACAGAGGGATTTATACACCTGTCAAAAGAAGGTCTCTCCCCTCCATCGAAAGCCTCCTGCAGCTCTTTGACCAGACTGGACTGTCCCGGCTGACGAAACAAGCCCACCTCCTGCAGGCCCCGCTCCCGGATGAAGTTCACACACTGCTCTACCACCAGAGGAACCAAACGCACCCCATAACGTCGCTCATACAGCACCGTCTCCTCCAGACGCTGACCAAAGACCCCTGCAAGGGAGGAAGATCTCAACCGGAGGTCCATCACATCCAATCAGGAACAAGATGACCGGTACTTTTATACATTTAAAATCATGTTGACATTGCTAAAGGAAGACAAGCAGGATGCAGAGGAAGATGTGTACCTGTCACATCAGTTACTTTCCTTAAATGTGATTATCGACATGTTTCAGGGGGTACAGTACAACACCTCCAAAATAATGTGAAAGACACAGTGAAATATTATACCCTATTTATACTGTCATTTTACTTACAATCCCCATTGGTGATAACCACAGTAACAACTATTCTTGTACATAAAAGACATAATTGTCTCTATAATCCACATGATGTGACATCAACAGTACATGTACCTGTGAAAGGGATCCAGACCCCCTTGTTGAGGCTCTTCAGCCACTCGTCCCCCTGCCCAGCGCTGTTAGAGAGGAAGAAATACGAGCCTGGGCTGGCCAACACGTCTCTGTTACCTACACACACAAACACACACACACACACACGCACACGTACACGCACACGCACACACACACACACACACACACACACACACACACATTCTCAGGTTTTTATAACAACGTCAAGACGCAAGTCTATTAACGCTGACCGTTACAATGATACAGTGATAATGTAGTATACTTCAAGGGCATGTCGGGAAGCCTTAGCTGTCCTTAATGCAGATTAAGATGATATTCACACAGAGGCATTTACACAATCTGCATTTTTAGGAGAAAGGAGACAATTTGTGGGGTTGAACACAAAAAAAAAATGCAGAGTGAAGTATCAAATTACTTAGAAGACATTTACCGTCAAAATATTGGGCAATGAGTAATAAATAACACATTTTGGGTTACAAACACAAATCTGGCTACCATCAACACCCACACACACACACACACACACACACACACACACACACACACCATACATCCTCTCTCCATCGTCATCTCGTTAACACACTTTTCCCCTTCTCTGTCTCATCATGCTTCAATGTCTGTCCTTCTCAAAGTCACATCACACACTCACCACTCACCACATGTATGTAGCAGCACCACCTCTCTCACACACACACACACACACACACACACACACACACACACACACACACACACACACATTCACCTCTGTTACAGGACCCTGAGTCAGCATTTTACAGATGACACTGAAGGACGACACACAAAAACACTGCTATAGTTCAAGAGGGATTAACAAAATAATATGTTGATGGTGTGTGTGTGTGTGTGTGTGTGTGTGCGTTCATGTGTGTGTGAGTGTCTCACCTTTGTGGCCTGTGCTGTCATGTTTCCAGGACTTGAAGCAGCTGAGTCCCATGCTGCAGCACTCCTGCTCCGGTTTGCCCAAAAAGAGCGATTTGAACGTTTTTTTTACAGACTTTTGTGAAAGTTCAGAGGGTGAGAGAGCAGCGCTGCATTTATTATTATTTGAGACAGACTATCAGTTTGGTAAAATGGACTTAGATAAGCTCTTGGTTTTTAACATCTGGGTAGTTCCTAGAGGAAAGAGGTTTCTTGGTGGATACAGAAACTTAAATACAGGTTCCTGCTGGATATTTAACTTGAAATGATGGATTCAAGTTTCTTTTGGGTGGATATATTTACAGGGTTGTCCTTGGTAGATGTTCAACGTTATGCTCCTGGAGAATATTGTCTTAGAATAACATTAAAAAAGGAAGTTCTTAGTGGAAATAATCCCCCTATACGAGGTTTTAGAGCATTATTAGATTGACTATTCAAAGATTTGAAAGGGTTTCAAGGTGCACGGTTCCTGGTTGATCTTTTACGTTACAAACACAGTATCTGTAGGAAATTCAGCCTTAAAAGATATTTAAATTCGATTTTGTTGAATGTTCCATGTTTCAGGGCTTCCCGGTGGTCATGCTAACCTCATGAAGCCTTGACGAGAGGCTCATGGTAGATAAAAAACCTTTAAAAAAGTACATATTTTGGAAGGTTTCTTATGGCTTAAAAAGTGTCTTCTTGATGCAGATCTCGAAGGCCGTTTTTCTCATGGTTGTGGGATCCTTGGTGATGTCAAGTGTTCAAAATAGGTCCCGTGGGAGAAAACAATGTGAAGAGAAGTTCCTGGAAAGAAAAGTCCCAGGATGATGCAACATTTCCTAGCTCTTCTCTGACTATTCTGAAAAGACTTCCCCCCTCTCTCCTTGGAAATCCCCATTGGCAGTTTCAGTTGATTCATTCAGGAGACAAGTTCAGGACAGAAAGTAAAGAAACGTAAGAAAATGATCCCAACATACATGTGAAATGTCCCAAGTTGCTCATGTAGAAACTTCAGAGAGGACGGCTGGTTCCTTTTTGGTCTTTGACGTCAGGATTTACTTAAAGATCATCAAAGGGTGCATCCGTATATATCCAGAGCAACAGACACAAGTCTCCATTTGTCCTTCTGATGATTTAAAAAAGGAAGGAGTGAGATGTCTGACTTCCTATCTTTGGAGTATTTCATGATGACTGGCATTATTCCAACTTGTTCCTATATTTTCCATTTGATATTTTCTGATATAAAATCCCCTAAGGCAACATTTCTCTCTTCCCCGTCTCTTCCAACGTCCATGGAACCAAAACTACTCCATCGTCCACGAGGAAGGAGACGCTCTTAGTATTCCCTCCTGCATCCTCTCTCCTTCCTTGTCTCCCTCTCTGTCCTTTGGCTTTATTAGCTCCTTAACTCCATCTCTAGAGGACAGTCTACACATCCATGCCTTCGTCCTCCCGTTTCCCTCTTCTTCTTCCTCCTCTCCGTCCCTTCCTTCCTTCCTGTCTCCCCCGTTGTCCCTTCTCTTTGTCCCCGTCTAGCTCGTCCTTCTGTCTTATTCCCACTACCCTCTCCCTCTCTCTCTCTCTCTCTCTATGTCCATTTCCCAGCAGTGTGTGTGCCCCTTGTTGCCCCCCTCCCCATTTACCTCATCAATAACCATGCTGTGTGTGTGTGCATGAGTGTGTAGGCTGTGCATTAGGAAAATTGGTTCTCTGCGACGCGGCGCTGTTTTACCAAAGTAATCACAGCTGATGGTGAGAGAGAGAGAGAGAGAGAGAGATGATCTGGCTCAAATTCTGCTGCTGCTGAAGTATGGCCTGCTGCAGCACACACACACACACACACACACACACACACACACACACACACACACACACACACACACACACACACACACACACACACACACACACACACACACACACACACACACACACACACACACACACACACACCATCATTCAAGTGGACATAAAAGCGAGAAAGGCTTGTCGGCCATGTCAACTTTTGAACTCAATTAAAGAATAAGGAACCTCTCTTCTTCTCTCAATACTGTCCAATTCAATAAACCTTATTGGCTCAAAATACAGCTCAGTTTACAGTGTAGGCTACTATATAGGCCATCAAATATCAAGGGGAGACACTACATCGTTGTTCACTTACTTACTGTATGCTCTGACTAGTGGAAAAACATCCAAAATCCACATGCAGGTCTTTATTTGACTTACTTACCACAAGCAATAGATAAAACCTCATTTGCAGATTTAAACATAACCTTTGAGAAGAATTGTAATGAAAAATATATTGTGTTAGAATAAGTAGTCAACTGGGAAAGTTGTTATTGTTTACTCTATTATCATGTTGTGTCTTGCAAAATGTATAGATACTGGATCTTCATAGGTTTCCTAACAAATGTTCGTACTCCACATCAGTACCAACTGCACACACAAAACGTTCCAATGCCATTCCTAAATATATATTCTGAAGGTTTTTACTGAGGAGTTTGTCCACATATCATTCAAAGCCTGCTTTATACAGTAGAACATGTATTCTTAAAATCTTGGATAAAACGGAAAGGGCTTTCAAATTCAAATTCAAAAGCTTTTATTGTCATTGTGCAGAATACAACGAGATTTATAGTTACTGCTCCAGCGAGTGCTTTAAAAACAGACATATTAAAACACAGTTAGTGTAGTTTGCAGTGTTCCACAGTTAAAATAAGGCAAGATAAACCTTTGTTAATCCCTGTGGGGAAATGCAGGTGTTCACGCAGCAACAGAAACTCTCAAAGTGAGCTTATTAAGATATGTTTTAAGACAGGATCAAATAAAAGCATTGGTCAGTGGTTTCAACACGTTTTAAGTTTGGGGGCTTAAAATGCCAAAATCCCCCAAACTCCTTAAACTTGACAAACAAAATGTTGGTAATTTAAAGTGTGACTGAAACAGAACCCGATACACATTAATGTTGTGCCGTATGTTAGCGTGTCATACAGACTGAATACTAATCACAGCTGAGAGCTTTCACATCTGTGTGTCAATACGACACACTCTTCATTACAAAGTGCTGTGTGTGTGTGTGTGTGTGTGTGTGTGTGTGTGTGTGTGTGTGTGTGTGTGTGTGTGTGTGTGTGTGTGTGTGTGTGTGTGTGTGTGTGTGTGTGTGTGTGTGTGTGTGTGTGTGTGTGTGTGTGTGTGTGTGTGTGTGTGTGTGTGTGTGTGTGTGTGTCTTCATGCTCTCCACTAAATGAAATGTGTCTCCTCTTCTCCTCTTCACATGTCTGCAATATATCACACACATGGAAATATTGATTGACCGTCTGTCAGTGTCAAGAAAAATGAACCTCTCTATCTGCTCAGAGTCTATCAGCAGCGCCCCCCCTGTGATCACACACTGTAACACAACCTACACACACACACACACACACACACACACACACACACACACACACACACACACACACACACACACACACACACACACACACACACACTGAATAGATATTGGAGGATTATGAGAATTATCTTTGTGGTCGTTGTGTGTGTCTTTGTGGTCGTTGTGTGTCTCTTTGTGGTCGTTGTGTGTCTCTTTGTGGTCGTTGTGTGTCTCTTTGTGGTCGTTGTGTGTCTCTTTGTGGTCGTTGTGTGTCTCTTTGTGGTTGTTTGGCCCATTTTTATAGTCAATGTGAGTTATTGGGTGATATTTCTTCTGTTTATAGTCATTTTGCGTCTATCTTAGGTTGATTTGTGTCTCTTTGTGGTTCTTTTTACTCTTGTTATAATCGTTTTGATTCACTTTGCACCTGTTTCACGTTTCTTTGTACTCATCTTGTGTCTTTGTGTTGTTTAGCGCCTTTTGAAGTTCATTGTGAACAGCTTTTTGTATTTCTCTTTTTGTATTTTTGGTTGTTTTCTGACTTAATTGGATCTTGCTTGCTTGAAATCAGCAGGATGAACCGTTGTCTGGTTGTTGTTGAGCCCAATATACGGAAGATCATTGGTGCCAGGAAAAAATACATTAGAAGAGAAAGATTTTATTTCTTTATTTTGGAAGTCTAACTTTCAGTTTTTGTGTAATGCAAAAATAAATGCATCTATTTGAGGTGAAAGATAATTTTAAACAAATATCACATTTTGATAATAAAGTCAAGATGTTTAGAATAAAGCCACGCTTTCAGTATAAGTGCTCCCGACATTATAGCATATAAAGGAATGTGCAATTTAAAAATACAGTTGAAATGTTGAGAAGAAACGTGTTTTTTCAAGATTGAAAAGAAACATTTGCACACAAAAAAGAATGACTAGTGTTGACCTTAAACTGACGGTTTGTCCATTTTAAATGTATTCTTTAATTGCATAATAAATACAAAAGTCTTCCTCCTCCCCTTTAGACCACTCTTGAGTAATTAAAAGAGGATAAAAAAAGTCAGATAAAACATCATTACATGTTCAACGCTTTTATCCAAAGCGACTGTGGGCAATCCCCACAGGAGCAATTTGTCTCAGGGACACAACGACATGCTGACAGCAGTGGGGTTTGAACCTGTGACCCCCTGATCCGAACACCAAGGCTCTATCCACTGCGCCACACGCCTCCCATCAAAATAGTATTAAAATATAAGAAGGAGAATAAAAGTTAGACATAAGAAAAAAAGCCAACATTGGATTAAATAAAATATTAAATGTAAAAGTAAATAACCACTTTTATAGGAGAGCACTCGTGCATGTGATGGTTTCAGCATCTAGTTTCAGAATTTGAGCTATGCTAGTTGTTAAATGTGGAGATATTTTTAATTTTTATGTATAGGACAGAAATATAAGACGTCAGTGGTTGATGTGCGTCAATGCTACGGTAAAAATCTGTCACCTTTAACGTCCACGCAGCGAGATGCAATCAAACACCTGGCTGTAAAATAAAAATGATTACATCGATGATAAAGTTATAGATCGCATGTTCCCTATCAGCGGCACACAGATTCAGCAAAAAGTTAATTAACCCGTAAAACGTTTCCAAATTTCTGTGGCTGCCCACCCGCA